GGCATATAAATGTAATCAATCAATCAATCAATCAATCAATCTAATTGTGCAGAACATGGCTCTTGGTCAACAGTGCTTCAAATAAGCAGAACCATCTGTGCAGAGCTCTGAATGTCCATTAGGGGGATGCAGAAAAGTCTAACCTTTTGGTGCCATCTCGTGGCTACCTGAATTTCTACCATCTAGGTATAGTAGACCTGTCTTTAAGGTGAGTTTAATATTGGAAAATGACAGTTTAAAAAAAAACCAAGTACTTAAAAATGCTATCAGTCCTCTCCTTATTTGTTTCCACCATTCCCTGTACTTCTCTGGTGCAGCGTATTGTGATGCAAAGAATGGTGAGAGCTGGTGATGTGGTAGGTCTCTGCTCATGCTCTGCTACCCCTTTTGTCCTCTGCTCAGATTGTAGTCCTCATTGTACACTCTGAGTGCAGAGTTTTGCTTTTGTTTAAGGATATTTTTTTTCACTTCTTGCCATCTGTCTTCTGGCAAGTCCCCCAATAATGCTATGATTTCCCTGGATCCATCTTTCTCTTCTACTCTGTCACAATTCATTTGCACCCTGAGGTTCATGCCTCCAAAATTATTCTGCCTAGCTTTCTCCCAAAATCAGAAACACGAGGAAGAATAACTCAATATTTGAGACTTAGTTTGCTTCATATCTAACATTTGAGATGACTCCCTCCTTCCTTTTCCTTCAGGACTTTGATTTCACTGGAGATCATTTAATTAATCCAGTAGATGTTAATGGAGGAGAGCAAGAATGCCAGCCATTGTGCATTAAGGAGACATGAATAACACTTTGTACTGCTGATGCATGTTAGATTAAGTCAACCCCCCTCCCACAAGCTTCTTTCCATATTCAGGATAAATTATCTGTGCAAATGAGGTAACTTCCTGCATATTTGCAGCCAGATTACAATGTCTCCAACAGGGAGCCTGAAACCTGACATCTGGTTTAGTTCATTCAACCAAAGTAGAAGAAACTGACACTGAATAAGCTTTAATTTTTTTTTAATACTTCTACTTTACTACAGATTCCTCAGGCTTAAAATAATGCATATGTTACCCAAATCAGGAGAGGGGAAAAAAGGTTTATACATTCAGGTAATATAAACTCAAGGCCACTCAGAGTCATGGCAAACAACTTTGATAAATAAAAATAAATCAAATAAACTTCACTACCAGTGGACAGATTGATTTCATGGTTACCGATAGGTGCCAAATTTCCACAGACCCATGGAATGGCCCCACTTAACAGATACATACCATTCCTTTCAGTGGGAGGAAGGAGTTCTCTATTTGTATTATATTTCAGTGTGAATCAATTGTATGGGTCAGATAATATCCAGAAGGCATCCAAAGTGAGCAGATAAATAGCAATAGCACTTACATTCATGTACCACTTCATTGTGCTTTTACAGCCCTCTCTAAGTGGTTTACAGTGTGTATTGCCTCCAACAGCCTGGGTCCTCATTTCACCCACCTTGGAAGGAAGGAAAGCTGAATCAACCTTGAGCCTGGTGAGATTTGATCTGCCAAACTGCTGGCAGCCGGTGATCAGCAGAAGCAGCCTGCAGTACTGCTCTCTCACCACTGTGGCAACACGGTTCTCACTCTCACTCTGACTCCTCTCTGTAGATCAGAGGTGGGTTCCTACCAGTTCGCACCTATTCGGTAGAACCGGTTCGTCAAATCTACCGAACCGGTTAGAAG